GTGCTTGACTTGACTTCTCTTTACCGGAACTTGGTGTAAATATCGATTGTAGTCAGAGGAAATATGTTCATTTATTGAAGTTCACTTTATTTCCACTCGCCAATATCTTATCTAAACATGCTATGGACGATCGATGTCGTTCCAAGCTCCCCGTGCCGGTGTTCCGCTATATTCCTGGGTCGTCCACGTATTTGTCGGGGGAAAATCTCAAATAAAGTACGCACCCCGACTTTGGTGACGGCCCGAGACACTTTTGGGATTTTGAAAAGTTTAAGAAGTGCGTACTTTAGTTGGGAATTTACGTTAAGTAAAAATGGTAAAAACAAATCACGTTTTATAGGACAACAGCACAAAGCAGGCCAGATTTGAGTGTCAGGGCGTCGCCTGCTGTAAAAGAACCGGTGTTTCTTGGTCAATGTGCTAAATATGCTAGGTTTAGACCTTCATGCTTTAGTATTCATTTTTTGTTATTTTTCAATAATCAATGTTCTAGTCAGCCTGATTTTTCCCGTCCGTCATCTCAATTTTGTTTGCCGTAAGTTTGTGTCGAGCGCCGAAGGCGCGAGAGCTCGGGAAAAATGTGTAATAGTTGACCCTCTGAACATTATTTCCTGCATTTTGAGGGACACTTTTCGAGGGATCGTACGACGGATTCGTAAAGAAAATTTTCCTTGGCCCTCCCCCAGCCCCGATTTTTTTTCCATGGCCCTCCCCCATATGCCAAATATTTTTTCCATGGCCCTCCCCCCCCTACGCACCAGCCCTCCCCCACCGGTAAATATCGTACAGTCCCTAAAGTGTAATAATTTGGAAGCCCACCTCTGTTGTGTTACCCTTTTTGAGCTGCCAAATACGAGCATATGAGTCTTCACTTGCTGATAAAAGCTGGGAAAAGAACAAAAGTAATTTTAGTACACACACATGCCCGTAGCCAGGATTTTGAATGGGGGGTTAATCCCACTGCTTGAGGGGACCTCGAGTGCCGTAGGCGCGAGGCGAGCGCCGAAGGCCCCAAGTTTACTAGGGGGGTCCGGGGGCATGCTCCCCCGGAAAATTTTGAAAAATAAACCTTCTAAAATGGCATTTCGTGCATTTTTGAGAGGATTTCCAGGAAATAATCAGAGATAAATGTTTATTCAATCACAAAGTCAGCAGTTTTTCTACGATTCCAGTCCATCTTTTCAAGAAAAATCTTGGACCTTTACATAAAAAGTGGACCAAAAAGTGGACCTTTACATAAAAAGTGGACCAAAAAGTGGACCTTTTACATAAAAAGTGGACCAAAAAGTGGACCTTTGAGCCTTGTGGGGGGTTCTTCCGAACCCCCGAACCCCCCCTGGCTACGGGCATGACACATACTCCAATATACACAATATCAACATGGTAACAGACAGTTCTCTGTCAGACAATATTTGATCCATGTTAGCACATATGCGTGAATCAACAGGATTAAGATGTTTCTAATTTTACTGACTTGGAGGTGTTGGTCATCAAGGTAATAGCGACCTGACCAGTGGAAGGGTTGACAGAAGTGTGATGTTGTCAGGCTACCCAGTAATATCTGGTCAAGTCCACAACACTTACCTGTCCAGATTCAGGTAAAATGTCCAGAGCGCTGATCCAGCGAGCATGAGCGCACACCTCGGCGTGGATGTTACCGGTCTCCACTCCGAAGAGGCGGATGTGACCAGTACTGTATGCTGCGATAACTGTGTCCTTCCACAGACATACGCAGCAGGCTGGGTTCCTATGGAGAACCACAGGGGAAAATTTAGCAGCGAGATATTTCATGGGCAACACAAAGATGAAAATTATCTGACTAAGCACAGATATGGTGATAACACATGGTGGAAAACATATTTCAACAAGAAAGTTAGGATGTGGCCTAAAAATGGCATGTGCCTCCCAACTACAGGATACAACTTTTTGGACCTTAGTCTCGGTAAAGAACTTTTCATTAGGAGTGCCACAAGAACAAATTCTCCAAGCAGACCTGGTTGTGACCTTCTATATACAGTTTTCTGACAGCTCACCCAATCTTTGGCGGCAGTGTTGGACACTCTCTTGCCTATTGGATACTGTCTTGGGGACTAATTAAGAAAAACATACCGGCTCCCAGAGATCCGTGTCACTTCCACAAACTTTGGTCCCTTCCACACAATGATATTCCCGCTGTCGTCAGCCGTGACCACAGTATCACCTGTGTGCCCTGTACTGGTGATGTCAGTGATAGCAGAGGAGTGGCCCTTCATGGTCTCTGTTAACGTCACGTTGGGACCCTTGGGAGGAATGTTGAAACACAGCACATTGCCCGAGGAAGTGCCTAGTATGTTGGAGGAAAACAAATCATCTTCATCACAACTGAAAGATTGAAATGTTAGTGTAAATTGTAATTGTAAAGTTTCCAAATTGTTTCATATTCATCAACTGACAAATATGCTACTCTGTCAAATTCTGTGTACCTGCAGAGAGTTATTGTTCTCTTATTGTTATATGATAACAAGTTACAACTGTATCATAACTCATGGGTTACTAGCTACCGCTTTACTGACCAACACAGATGAGGTTTCCTGCAACTGGTGCCACGCCTCTTGCAAAAGTGCTGTATCCTGGGAGGGGGAGGGGAGGAGACATGTTAAAATGTGTCTACACAAAATGATGACATACACATTAGGTCACAAATTTAATCTATTTCTCTATACCAGGTACTTCTTAAATAGTTTTCAACTACAATACAATGCAGTACAAATATGATACAGGCACCTACAAATATGTACATGCATTATCTTCACTCACCACTGACACTCTCTGCAGCTCCCAGGGCATGCCAGAAAACCATGATAGCACCATCCTGTTCAAATATCTGTCAACATAAACAGCAGACAATACATGTAGCTCACACTATAATTACATAACACAGCAAAATGATATTTCATTAAGCGATGCACTAAGAGCAACTGCAGTGTAGCCTGGGTACCATCCGGATTTTCGCTACGCAACGCTCAAAAAAATTTTTCGAGCGTTGCAGTGTGGTTCTTTTGCACTAGGGGGCATTGTTTCAACATGCCCTACAAAAGCAATGAACCTCATCTCCAATGAAGGTACATGTATTACAAGTTAATCCATACATAACTGATGGGAATTAACTTTGAACATGAAAGATATTGAATCCACAGTACGCCAATGTTAGATGTCATCTATCTGTAAGTGTAAGCTGTTCGAGGTTGAGAAAATCTACGTCTTTATAGTGTTTTAGTAACTATTGACACACAATAGAGAATCCCAAACCTGCACTCCCTTCTGTGATGTAATGACAAGCAGGTTTCTTGTTGCCAGTTGACACCATTTGGCCTGGGAGACAAATGAAAAGGATTATACAGTAGATCTATGGAACATATCAAAAGATATTCAAGTTTCTATACACATTTGGCATCTAGAAATGGTATTACGAGACATAAGCAGCATTTCACACTCTTGATTATCACACCAGCAAATGTACATTCTGAATTTTTGTTTACATGTTTTCTATAATTAATATTATTTATTTCAACTAATTTTTATAACTACATGTAACATTATATGTAACTTTGATGTTGTGACATCATACCGGTACATGTACTTTGTGCTTGAAATTATTATAAATCCTTATGTCTGCGGGGGGTCTCACCTGTAGAACCATGGACCCCGTGTGCTGCCCTGCCTCCCTGCATGTCACCTGCACAAACAAGATGGGACTATCACTTCATATCAATATGACAGACGTCATGAATACAATGGAGTACATACTCAAAATCCTTTTAAAAACTCTACCAATAGACCGTACTGATTAAAAGTCTTTTCTGTGTACAACATGACCAAAGATACAAATGATTCACCTGAATTTACCTGAAATGATTAAAGAAAATAACAAACTGTCATAATGTTGTTTATCATCACCTATCCTGCACGTTTGAGATTGTTTCTTACAAACCAACTATTATATCACTATAGCCACATCTGTTGGCAATACACTTCTTTCTTGTGTTTTCTTGAGTATGATGGAGATGGAGAATATATTTCGCACCCACCTGTCTGTGGTGGAAATTCTGCTGCCCCTCCCCCGTGGCCGGCCCGGACACCGTCACCAGGTTTACCGCTGATCGGTGCACCACGGCGTGGGTCGTCAGGTTCTTCTCGGGGATGCGGTTCAGGGCCAGGTTGTTGCAGAGTGCGCTGGCACTACCCCGCAGAGGAATCGTCTTGTTTTTGGAGTACATACTGGTGGCACACAGGTGTTTCTGACGCTGATTTTCCGCAGGAACTATGTGTTTAGATTATGTCCCGCACGGGTTGATGGGATCGATGTAGCTGGTCATGGCGAAGCAAATGTTGCCTAAAAAATACGTCTTCTAATCTTTCCCACAAATACACATAATCAGTACTATTAAATAGAAAAAGCTAATTAGATATATCAATATAGATTGCAAAATGTTTTTGTTACATTAAGTTGGTTGTTTATTGCTTTTTGTAGACATTTTGAAACTGTTTCAGCTGGGACATCGAATGTAATGTTGGCGGACAGCCCCTTAATAAGAAGCGAAATGAAGATGGCAGGCATGGGACGTCGGGGGCTGAAGCTTAGTCAAATCAAGCCTCAGGAGGCTTACAGGTACGCTTATCTGTCCAGTAATACACTGATGGAGAACCTTGTTGGTTCGTACACGTTTTTGTGTAAGAAAAATTTCCACACATTCGTATTATAATTTCATGCAACAACATCCATGCCCCCCTCCCATCTTGTTTTCTATCCAGGTAAAATTGGTACAAATTTTCTTGTGCATGTATCAAGCAACTGAAATATTGAGTTTTGTTAGTTTAGATATCCGCATTATGAACAAGTATACTCATTTTCTCATGATAAATATGAGCAATGAATTTGAACCTCATATTTTGGCAGGATCATGGATATTTACCATTTGATCTCATGGCTAATTTGAACATAGTTGGCCCTCAAGATCAGTTGTTCCTTGCCGTCATTTCTTCGTTTTTTTTCCTCTACAGTGAGGCAGCAATTAGGACCAACAATGCTATCCTGGAGTTCTGCAGAACTTCCTTCTCGGGCCTGTCTGGAGCCACCGCCGGTGTGCTGGGACTAACGGCTCTCTACGGATTCATCTTCTACTTCGTGGCCTCGCTGTTCATGTCCTTACTGCTGATCCTGAAGGCTGGCAGCAGCTGGGGAAGGTACTTCAAATCCCGCTGGAGGATCTTCACCAGCGGCCTGATGGGTGGACTCTTCACATACGTCTTGTCATGGACATTTGTGTACGGCATGGTTCACGTCTATTGATGGCTGTGCTCAGGATTCTGATGGGCGAAATCTTTAACTCCAAGGACAAAATTGTCTAGCAGAACCTTTGTCTGCATTAAACTTTGTCTCTTCTTTATTAACCTTGTCCCTACTGCCTAAATCTGTAGCAAATAGAGAATTGATAGCCAAAAGGGCTACTTCAATGTGCTAATGGTTGTGAAACGTCATTGAAATGTGTATTGCAATATTTGTGTTGATAGAAGTTATACTCCAGACACGGACAATGGTGTAATTTCCATTTTGATAAATTGCTTATGCAATGTTTTCTTATCAACAGAGAATTTATGTATTAAAATATTCTCCTTTAACTGTGTCCTTAATTTGACCTGATTAATTTGATTTTCTACATTGTTAATTTATGACAGCAGCTTTCGAATGAGAGGTCAGCTAAAGTACATGTATAAGGAAACTGTAGACCATCCAAGGAAGGACACGTTTGTAACAAGGTACTGTAGTACAAATGTATATTTGGAAATGTTTTATGCTGGTTCTTGTTTCATATAGGATGCCAGGATTCAATCACTTGATTTTGAGCAGTGCTGATTCAGAAACTAGACTAAACATCATCAATGTTTAGTCTGTTTAGAATGTTGTACCAGTTTTGTATACTGAACCATTATTTTTGTGTGCTATAATATCATAACTTGTACAGTATAATAGTCAGTATTTGAGAAGAAATTCAAGTTTATAGAGTTTAGGTAAAGTATGTTGGTATTTCATTTGCATGAAAATATGCACCATGATTCAGAATGTGGTAAAAGTCAGAACTTTAATTTCCTTGTAGAAGAATATGTACATGTACAAATACAAGAGTGGAACCCCAGGAAATATTTCTATTGGTCTCTGTTTGTGATGTAGAAAATCTTAGCCTCAACTACCCAAATGTACTTTCTGGTTTCTAACATATAGAATTCAACATTCAAACAATAGAGAGTGCATTCACGGTATGGTTAAAACTCTTATATATACATCTACTGCCATTGCCAGTTGTGCTGTAGAACACATCACCATATTTTACAGTTGTCTTAGTCTTACCTCTACTAAAAAATGATGGCTCTGAGGAACCTTCCACAACATAGTTGTTGCCAAGTTTTAGTTAGGGAAATGAAGATATCATCTCAATTTGGGGAGAGAATTTACATCAATTGGGAAGGGATACATATTTTTCCAAACAAGCAACATTTGTGGGCAAAACTCTTGCTTCTGTTAAATCCAAAAAGAAGCCATTGTTATTCAGGAATTTTAAAAAATACAATACAGAACCCCTAGACTAGAAGTAGCAGAATTCAGCCTTGATTGTTCCCTAGTTCTCCCCACCCTCCTCTGCCTCTGCGGCTGGCTCCTCTGCAGGAGCCTCCTCACCCCCCTCCCCCTCAGTGGGCTCTTCCGCCTCAGCATCACCCTCCTCTGCAGCTGCCTCCTCCGCTGCAGGCTCTTCCTCTGTGGCACCCTCCGCCTGTTCAGCTGGCTTCTCTCCTGGAGGGGGAAAATCAGTTCAGTCATTCTGCAGCAGTAGCTTCCATCCAAAGACAGCAAAATTATGGAACTCTGCCTGTTTCCCTTCTATTTGCAACCAACCCACAAGCTTTAAAACCAACATTCTCTGCCATAGCCTATCATTGTGACGGTCTGACCTTTACCTCCTACACCCCAATTCGTTACAGAAAAGTGGGCATTTGTAGTGGTAAGTTGTGCATACTTCTATTGTTAAACTTGTTAAAAAACACATAGTAGCACAGATAAGAAAAAGACAAAATAATGGCACTTCACTGTACTGACACCATTCTGCTAATACTAGTAATCAGAAGCTAGAATCACATAAGAATAACAGCATGTTTAAACATGCACCTGTCTATGACACTACAGTAGACCTGATGATAAGTGTTACCTTCAGCCTCCTCTGGTGCAGTTTCCCCCTCTGCTGGCTCAGCAGGCTCCTCAGGCTCCTGTACAGCCCTCAGTGTGATGGGGGTGATCTTCCCGGCCTTCCACTTAGGGATGGTCACCATCATGGGCTCTTCTTCCTCCTCACCTCCAGCAGCCTGGGTCAAAGTACATGTTTGTGTGAGACTTTCTTTACTCATCAAATACTCAAATAGGCCTGCTGGCCATTTTTCATTAAGGTCATCAGGGAAGAGGTTACGGTATAAAGATACAGGTTACATATTTGAAGATATATACTAAGTCGTATTAGGCCACACCGATTTAATTTTATGGATGACATCCGTGCGCGCATTGATTTTCGCCCGATCTCAAAAAAAAAAAAAAAAAAGATCACGTATTCCGAGGCTCTGGCCTGGCTTTAGGCCTGGGTAGTGCATGGTGGTGATAACTCTGGTTGACGGCAGCCAGGCTACCGAAGCTCCAAGACTCAAGAACTCAGTACATACGTACAGCAGTGTCGATTCATATATTCCACAAAAATCCAGCATGTGTTGGCCTGTCGTATACGTCGCTATGTAATGCGCCAAATTCACAATACCAGGTTTGTATTTGTGGTTTTGTAGTTTTGTAGCATTTTTATTTTTGGCCGGATTTTTTTTTTTTCGCCCGCGCGCACTAGTTTGGGGGTCTTCGGAGGATGTCATCCATAAAATTAAATCGGTGTGGCCTTACCGGTATATATTGAGCTACCCACCAACACCATAAACACCGTAGATGATAGATATAGAAAGACATTCTTTTCTAATGATTATCATAATTTTCATACTATACTTCTTATTTACTGTTACAGTAACTCCTGAAAGGCCTGAGAGTCCTTTAGATTAGATGGAGCTGCTGCCAGCAGCACCATCTGTCTCCACCCACCTGTTCCACAGCAATGTACTCTCCGTGCTGTTCACAGCCGATGTCGAAGATGTACTTGCCGGGTCCTTGTGGGTGACCAGCCATGAAGCTGCCCTGGTAGCGATGGTTCAGATGGACCATCTCACCAGCTCCATCAGGCTTCCCGTTCACCCACGTGCCTACGTACTTGCTTCCTGTTTCCTTGTATGTGTAAGTGCCTTGCCCGTGTCTTTGGTGGTTCTGCCACTCGCCTTCGAAAGTGTCCCCATTTACGTAGAAGTAAACGCCATAGCCATGCCGTTGGTCGTCCACCCAGCTGCCCTCATACTTGGAGCCATCAGGATAGATGAAGGTGCCCTGGCCATGTTTCTTGCCCTTGATGTATTCTCCTATGTACCGGGCGCCATTCTTGAATCTGGAAAGCAAGAGGACCACTGATGATTGATGATACTGATAAGCAAAATCCAGATGAAAGGAAGAAGACGAGAACAGAAGAGAACAACTTTTCAGGAAGACAACCGTAACTCAGTCAAGATAAAATCAATGTGACAAAACAAGAAAAGTGTTAATGTTTTAATTCACATTCAATTGAAATAATTTTGCCATCAAAGTCATGATATGATGTGGTTCCAACATAAATGTTGCATCTATGGTACTACAATTCTTGTTTGAAGAGCCACACTCAGTATTTTGGACTGATAGAAGAGTGGTGTCTAATGGTAACTAAGAACTGCTGTAAAGCTAATTCAAACAGTTTGCTGTACCTGTAGGTGCCGGACCCATGCCTCTTGCCATGCTCGTACTGTCCCTCATATGTGTCTCCGTTGGGGAGGGTCGCCTTGCCGTAGCCGTGCCTCTCGCCTTCCTCGTTCCTGTCCCCCTCGTACTCGCCCAAATACGGCCCGGCCTCTTCTTCGAACTCCTCTGAGCCTATATCAGACATGATGCACTACCTGTGATGGTAAAAAAGACTAGAATGTACTGGATAAGACGAGCAGGACGTGTCAAGCCGACTGTTCCTCGGTGAAAATGGGGCGAATGTTTTGTTGCTACTGGAAACAACAGTCCCGTTGACATCTCGGAACCACAACAAAACGCAACGTGAAACCATTACAAATTTTGGCTCACATTTCTGTTAGTAAAGATAATCTCAGCAGTATGCACGAATCATAAATAACAACCTATTTTATTTATGTAAAAATCGGCTATTTTGTGACATTTTACTAATCTTTTACGACACATAAAATTTGCTAATACTTTTGATATCTATGCGGTTACAGTGTGCATTTCTTCTCGCGAGAAAAAACGAGAAGGTATCCACGCCCACATTGCGCTTGCGCACATTTTAGGGCATTCCTTCGGCCTGTTCATTTTGCCTCAACGACTTTTCCGCCTCTCTTTCCTTCAATTTCTCTGGATTCCTGCTGTGTACCCGACCAGATGTCTACCTGTAAGGCATCCCGGGACCATATAGCACCCCTGGATAAGGGATTGTGGTGGGTTCTGTTGGAACTGACTGCGGAAAAGCGACGTGAATCTGTACCGGAAGTTGGGCGGTCTCGAGGCGTTGGAGGGAAGCTGACACGAGCCAGGATCTGAGCTGGTACGGAATTTTCGATTGTCGATTTTTGTGTTGTCTTGCCTCATCAGATCTCTGCATGACACGATGGGGAAGTGGCTGTCAAAGATCTTCGGGAACAAGGAGATGCGCATTCTCATGCTGGGACTCGACGCAGCAGGGAAAACCACGATTCTCTACAAGCTGAAGCTCGGACAGTCTGTGACTACCATACCCACAGTGGGCTTCAACGTGGAGACAGTCACCTACAAGAACGTCAAGTTCAACGTTTGGGACGTGGGAGGGCAGGACAAGATTCGACCGCTCTGGAGGCACTATTACACAGGAACCCAGGGGCTTATCTTTGTCGTAGACTGCGCCGATCGCGACCGGATCGACGAGGCGCGGCAGGAGCTGCACCGGATCATCAACGATCGAGAGATGCGGGACGCCGTCATTCTCATCTTCGCCAACAAGCAGGATCTGCCCGATGCCATGAAACCGCACGAGATACAGGAGAAGCTCGGGCTAACTCGCGTGCGCGATCGAAATTGGTACGTGCAACCTTCGTGTGCAACGACAGGCGACGGACTGTACGAGGGACTCACATGGCTCTCCTCCAACACAAATAAGTCCTGACTGCCTGCCCCCCACCCTCTTCATATCACCGACAGAACTTAACCCTTGTCCTGCTGGCAATTTTTACACAATATTTTCAAATAATTTCATGTCTTAATCAGGTTACACACCCTTGATTTTTTTTGCCCTGCGGCGGCGTAGTTACTTCCGCATTCGTTGCGTTTCGCTGCGGTGTGATGCGTTGCACGAGAACACCCCCAAATCGCACATATACAGGGCACTATATAGATGGTACTGTATGTACAACCCATATATATATATGGGCCCCGCAGGACAAGGGTTAAGAGGAACTCCACCCCTTAAGGTTTAATAACAGCGGGGGTGTAGGATGTGACTCACTTGAGTGAAACTGGCATCATTCATAGGTACCCTGTTCGAATCTCTGCCTTTTGGTCGAAATCTGCATTTCAACCCCATTATGTTTTTATCTGCGTGGCTATGAGAGTTAGGATCACATTTGGGTTTATAATCGTTTATTGTCTCCAGGGATATATTTGACCTCATTTTTCAATGGACGTTGATAATATGTGTATTATATATGCTATAGAAAGAATAAAATGAGCCAAGGTAGAACCCTTTTTTTCCTTTGGGTGTTTGTTTTAAATCGGTTTCTGTGAATTAAATCTTGCCCTTGTGAGGTCTGTTTTCACCTGCTTGTTAAGATTTAGCATCTATTCTAATATGTGGGCAGAAGCTGCAGCCCTGATTTGCTTGCAGGCATTTGTAAGGCTTTAACCCTTGTACATACTGTCAGAACAGAGGGACAACATTGTATAGCTGTTTAATCATAGCACATAGGTGTAGAATTTTGGAGAGAGAGAGAGTAAAAAAAATGACCCATCATGCTTTGTGAGAAGATGTTTCCCATAATTCCCAATTTCACACTAGTTACAGTATATACAATGGATTTCTAAGCTTCAGAACTGGCGAAAGGTTTGAGAAGGTGGAGACACTGGGCGTGTCCCACCCCAGAAATAGACCTGCAGTTTTTGTGGTTAGGTGTGTTTGTTCTTCTGAGTTAGTCACATTGACTGATGTCTCTTTTTTCCAGCTTCTCAAACATGTCTGTTTTGAAGCTAAGGGATTTCCCTCAATGTAGGGTATTTTTAGTTTGACGAGGAAGATGTACTATGAATAAAATTCTTTAGCTGATTCCTCAAGATGGCTCTGTTCTGAATGTGTTCAATGGAGGGGTCATTTCTTCAGTGAAGCCAAGGGTGATATATTGGGAAGGCTGTTGAAATATTAATGTCATGTGATATATGTACATGTATGTCACCCATTCATAGAGAAGGGGTGATAGTAGGTCATATGTGTATAGCCGGTATAACTGCCCTTCGGCATAACACTTCAGGTCAAATTACAGCTGCCATAGCATATGTTGAAGGGGCAAGGATTTAGATTTCATTGCACCTTATTTCCTCCCATTTCCTGACAAAAAGTAGGTGGGAGAAGAATGTTAAAGAAGTTATACACAATTTTAATGGGATGTGAACATTGTCCAGTTCCTTTTTTTTAACAACTCTTTACAATAATAGGGGTTTCATAAGTCAATTTTATTTGTAAACAATGCAAATGTTTGCCAATAGAAAAATATAAAAAACAAACAGAAGCAATCCAGAAGAGAAGTGTTTGAAATGTGTGTTGTTTTGCAGTTACATGCACATGTATTATGTACTTTGCTAACAAATCAGGTAATAGACAGAAAATCATATTATGGGGTTACAGTTATCTGCCTTAGAATTTTTCACTACACATTTTCACATGCAAGTATTTCATGTGCAGAAAACCTGTTCCCATTTGAAAATTTGTAGTTCCTTACATGCAGGCTTTTAGCTAGGGGGTGTCCAGGGTGTCTTTTGGACGCCCTGTACTGAAAATAATAAGAAATTGGACGCCCTACTTTTTTGTAGGGCACCCTAAAGACGCCCTATTTTTTCCACTCCCAACCCCTGCCATGCACACATGCCTCCCTTCAGCCTTACTATAAATACAAAAATGATGGTTTACTGAAGGAAAAAAATCAAATTTACACCTGAAAATGCAGAAAGTAGTGTTTGAGAGCCTTATGAATTTCAAAAAAGCCCCCCTAAAATCTTGCACTCAGCATGTCTTCACTGTGCATAGCATACAATAAAAAAAAATGGACGCCCAAGAAAAAAATCCTAGCTAAAAGCCTGCTTACATGTACATGTCAGAACCTCACCTTGCCTTTGCTAATCTGGCAATTATGACTGGGCACTTCCTAATTGCCAGGGGAGATAATTAAGAGTAAGACGTAACCTACTTTTGAGTGGATTAGTGGTCAGGGTGTTATTACGTGACAATTTCACGCCAGTGTGATCTTGTAGCAATGCAATGGACGCATAGAAACAACCCTCCTCTCATATAGCAGTATTATTTATGTGGTGTTGTAAATATTCCTCCATGTAATATATTTTTTCTGTTGGGAAATGCAGCTTGAAGTTTATTGTTTCAAATAACCATATTACACATTTCTTTACAGATGGCCAGTTCAATTCAGATATTGTACAATGTATATTGGAGTTCATAGCACACAATGTTGTGCGTTATTATTTCATTTTTTACCATACAATAGATATAGCCATCTAGGTCTAACTGTTGCTCACATAAAATTTTTTGTCAAGACCAAAGGACTGTCCTGTCGACACCATTATCCATCATGTCTCTCGAACCAGAGGCCTCAGGTAAAAGTGTCTGTCCTTGTCCCAGTACAGGCTGCAGTCCTCCACACAATAAAACATGCAGTGGCCCCAAAGCATATTGTGCATTCCAATCGTACAACCCCAGAGGTCAATCAGTGGTGGCCATTAAGAGGTACATACAGATTTAGGCTACTGTGAAAGGAGACATTTTGTTATTTCATGGTTTTGTTTCCAGGTCAAATTGCTGCATATATTAATGCTTGTCTGGTGCTGCTATGTTAGATAGCATTATGTGGTGCAGATCTGCTGTCTTTCCTGTATATGAGAGCAGGCTACAGATTACAGTAGTCTTTGTGTCTGCCATCATGACTACCACGTGCCTGTGCTAATGCTTTTTCCCTTCACTGGGTTTTTTGATACCTGGCCAGTGCAGGAAACATTGATATTGGGTGGGGCAGCCTTAAAAATATGTGCTCGGTCTGTTGAGCCATTTTACCATTTTGAAAATGATCTGTGAGACTTAGCTCGCTGTAAAATTGCTGGCAAAATTCTTTAAATTTCAAGTACAAGAATTTGTTTCACAGTAGGGTGGTTGTAATATATTTAGTTTTGTGAAGATGAACTTTGACCCTGTTTAACGTTTACAGGGTTAGACTGGTTTTCTGGAATAGCAGGAGTCAGAAGTGGTTTGACGACACTAGCTATAGTCAACCCAAATCAACCTACAGCCTAGTAGGTCATTTATGGGGATGTTGGACCCATAATATTTACATGCAGTACTTCACAGTTCTGTGGATTTTATTCCCTGGGCTTTCAACTTCTTTCAAGTTAAAACAATGGTGTGCATGGTAGTAAGTTTACATTTTTGAAAAGGTCAAACGATTTTCCAACACAAAGATTGAATGACAAGCCGCAGGTTGAATTTAAAGAATTTTAGTTCACAGAATAATTACCTTGCCGCCATTGTTGTCTGAATCAGATATGAGGCAGTGGTCAGTTGCAGATAGCTGTGGTCTTGTGATCCATGCATGTTCCCTTAGGACTCTACCATTGCCAGTATCCATTACAAATGTACTATGTATTCATTATGACCAATAGTAGTATTTTACACTCAGTGAGCGCTTTCAGATTTCGTGCATGAACTTCCTTGGGATTTTACTTGCCATGGGGTGCAACTTTATTTTGTTTAAGCCATGGCCAGCTTGTACAGCCTTGTCTGCAAAGCTGAGGT